CGAGACGTGTGAGACTTAATCAAAAGCCAACTAGACACACACACACACACACACACACACTCGCACACACACACGGAGCAGACGGCAGACAGTGAGGCACCTTGGTTGCATGCAATTTCTTAGTTTTATCGCGCCTATTTGCTGGCTCATTCCAAGTGTCAAGTTTATGCACCTAGCTAACAGTAAATCATGTTCTCTTTTTTTCGCTTCTGTTTTTTGCTTAATAAGCAAAGTGCCTGGCGGCCATTTAAACTTGAAATGTTGAAAGAGTTCATTGCGCTGAATGGTGTGAATAATTAACGAGTCAAAGCAACTTTAAGCACTTTTAATTTTCAATAAAAAAAGCTGAAGAAGAAAAATAGCGCAAGATGATGAAGAAAATAAGTATTTTAAACCAAATAAAGCTTCAATTCAAATGTAAGTTGGAGTAAAGAACTAACGAATCCATTGAAAGGGTATACAAAATGGAAAACAATTTAAATTTCAGCTCGAACGTGCAACACAGCTGTGTTGCAGCCATAATAACAAAAATATGTCATAAAAAACCAACCAAAAAAAAAGAAAAACTGAGCAGAAGTAAGAAAATTTACTAGAAGAGAAGTTTCTACTTCAGCAGCTGTGTAAAATAGATTTTTCGGTCATGAAAATGTTTATGGCAACCAACTGGAAGAGGAGTAGCAGCAGAGAGAGGGACGATAGTGGGAGGGGGGAGGGGAGTTGCTGGACCACATCCGCAGTGGAAACGCAATCGTCGTTGCAATTGAATGAAGCAATTAATGAACGACAGACAACATTTTGAGATTTGCATACAAAACAGCGGCAAATAAATTCACGGTCAATGTAAAACCAAATCACGAACAACAATAACAAATAACAGCAACAGCAACAGCAACTGCCACAGCAACTGCCACAGCAAGAAAACAATGCATGCAACTTGCCAACTCAAAGTCATGGCTTAAAGGCAACACACACACACACACACAGAGCTACAGACCTGGCCTGGCCTGGCAACAGGGCCAAAAAGTAAATTTGCATTTGTTCAGCCGCAAAGTGGAAGGCAAATCATAAAAATGATGATGATGATGATGATGATGATGATTGCGTTGAGTTCCACAAGTCACCGTGTAGGCTGTACAAAATGAGATAATAAGCAGCATCTCTCTCACTCTCTCTCTCTCTCTCACTCTCTCTCTCGCTCCTACTCGCTCTCTCGCTCTCTGCGCAGCTGTTGCCAGGTCAGCAACAGCAAGAAAAACAGGAACAGGAAAAAGCAAAGCCAAAAGGCTTCGCCATGTTTGCCGCCATTTTTTTCTATTTGTACATTTTTGCCGAACGGTTTCCGCCAGCGACTGCGAAGTTGCTGAGCAAAACAAAATGGTCGAAAATGTCAAGAGCGACTGCGACAGCGACGTCAACAGCGACGTCGGCGCGAGCAGCGACTGAGAAAACAACGCCTAGCAGCAAACGGCAAACAGCAAACAGCAGCAAAACAGCTGTTGGCAACAGTCGCGAATGATGCGAATATGCAGAGCAAAGGAGAGCAGCCAAAACGGCGTCGCTTTTAGCTAGATTGCGAAAGGAAGAGGAGGCAGGGGGTGTGGGGTGTGCTGCTTGGTGTGAGGGGTATATGGCATTGCCTGTCATTGCACCTTTTGTTTAGGGGCCTAAGCTTTCGTTAGGCGTTGCGTTTAAGGGTGGGTTTTTTGGAGCCGCTTAAGCAACAACAACAACAACAACAACAACAAAAACGAACTTGAAGCTTTAAGCAGAGTGTGCAGCAAATATATAAATATATATTTATATATATATTTACAGTTGAGGAAGAACAATTATCAGCACTACTACTACGATTTTGCTAACGATTGAAGATAAAAACAATTTTTTCAAATGTTGATTTTTAATACATTGTTGAGTATTCCTCGTATAAATTAAAGAACTCCTGGAATTCTTTTCAATATATATATTTGTGTGTAGAATTATATTTATGGATATTATTATTTATTTATTTGAAGAGAAAAGTGCCAAAAAGTAATAAATAGAAATAAAATGATACAAATCTTATATTTATCATTTTCATTCATTTTCATTTTGTATCATTTTCATAATTATTAGTGCACATTTAAAAATGGCTCCTATTATTATTTTTTTGCTTTGCTCTTTTAATTTAATTTAAATACGTTTTATGCTCATTCTGCTTGCACTTCTAAAAATATATCCATAGTTGCTTAAACTTACTTATTGAAAAAAGGCACATTTTTTTGTGAGAGTGATGCTATTATTATTTTCGCAACTGTATTTATACAAATATAGATGTGTGTATTTTGTGGCAGGCTTTGGGGTTGGCAGCTTGCCTTGCGCCGATGGTGATGACTAAGCGCGGTTGTTGCCTCTGTTCAAGATGCTGCGGCAAAAATAAAAAATGCCATGCTGCCTGCCGTTGCACGATGTGTGGCAAAGGGTTTTGTCATAACGGTTTAGGGTTAGACCAGGACGTGTTTCGTCCCGGGTGTTGTTGTCAAGTGCTCAGTGCTAGTTCAGATGTGTTACGATTAGATAAATTATGCACTTGACGGTGGGGGGAAAACTAAAGATGATCTGATGATGCTGAAGAGTTTTTGTAATCAAGCAGGAGGAGTCTTAAGAGGAACAGCGCTTGAAAAAAGTACCAGCTTAAAAAATATAAGCCAAAATGCAATCATATTCGAAAAGTGAGTTGCGTCATTGCACTTCAATTATGAAAAATGCAAGTGGATTGAACAGCAAAGAAAAAAATGTAAAAAATAACGCAAAACTTGTAAGCCAAGTCAGATTGCAACACACTCACAGACAGACTGGCGGACAGACAGACAGACTGGTCTCCTAGCGGACCCCCAACCTGGTCAATTAGGCAAACGGGTGGCGATTGCCAACGCGTTTTAGACAGGCCAACGGCCAGCAGCAAGTTTCGAATTGCAAATTGCAGTTAGTACAAAATAAATATATGTGACTCATAATTTAATAGCAATAATAATAATAATAAAAATATAAATAACAACGCAAAATAAATAACTAAAAAGTAACAAAAATACAATAATAAATTAGTTGAAAAAAGTTGAAAATTGATCTGCACAAAATTGAAACTGGGAATTAATAACTGAGAAATAACAAATGCTGACAAGTCGACGACAAGCGTTTGCCTTGATTATTACGCAAAAGTCGCCAAACCGCAAAGCCCAAAAACGACAACAACAACAACAACAACAGCAATAACAAAAGCAGGCAACAACAATGTGCAACAAAAGGAGGCAACAAGAACAAATGCTGACCGCAGTCAAAGGCTGCTTAAATTGCCGTTAAGTCGAACACTTTGTAAATGGCCGAAACTAGCTGCAACTTGGCCCCAAAACTCACTTCTGGCCCAACTCGCTGCCTAAGGTCAAATGGCGTTTAATAATTTGGGTTACTCGCTGGCAACGTGCAACACAATGTGGCGGCTGCAACTGCTGCGGCTGCTGCTACTCACAGAGATACATATCTAACAGATACAAAATTCGAATAAGACATTCAACTGCTCGATATTTTCTCGTTTTTCTGTCTTTCTGTTTTTGGCGCGTGCCAATCTATTTTTTTTTCCATTTTTTTATTGCTTTTGGGCCAACTCACGCCCACATTTTTTTTCTTTAGTTTGGGCCATTTGTTTTTGAGTCTCTTTCAGCTGCAAAATATCGCATGACAGAGCCAGAGTCAGCATAAATTGAAAATCAACCACGTTCAAATTGCCAATACAACTCTGACTTATCGCGACTGCTTAAGCGTAATCAGAGGCGTGGCATTTTTGATACTCTGTCTATTTGCTCACATACTAAGTTGATTCAGGATAGACTTAAGATCAAAAGATCACAACTTAGATCGCATTCAATTTTAGTAAATCGCTCTAAAATGAAAATCGCCCTAAAATATAAAGTTTTTCTGTGTCTTAGAAATAGTTTCTAAAAATTAACAAAAACAAAATAAGTGCAAAAATAAGAAAGAAATTGCAAATATATGGCGAAATTTTCTAATGTTTTTTTTTAAACATTTTCTAATTAAAATAAAAAAAAAACAAAACATTTCTGAAAAGTAGAAATGCAAACCTTAATTTTTAGATAAGTATTTTCTTAAAATGCAGAAGCAAATAATGAAATTTTGTTGCTCAACTTTTATATTAGAATTTAGCTGTCGTCTGCTTTAGAAGCTGAGTTTTTTCAAATGAAATTATATGAATTTGTAAAGTATTTTAAATGTTTGTGTATATATGACGTCAAACAATTCTTCTGATAATAATAATATAAGTAAAAAATTCAATATTAACACTTAGAAAACAACAGCCTGGGAATAAGACATATTATTTGCCACATTCAGAAATATCCAGAAATCCAAAAACATGAATTTTTGAAATTTGATATCTGATTAATATTGTGACTAACAATTAGCGCCAAAGCTAAAATTGAGGAAGATATTTTAATATATCTACTCACACCCTCATTTAAATTTTATTCTATTATATTATTCTTTTTGATTCTCTTCAGATTTGGGGTGATTTGGCTAAGTATCATAATTTTACTAACAGTGTTGATCAAAATAGTCGAAAGCTTTGAAAACTTGAATACTATTATAGTATTAGTATTATTTCGATCAGCTCATTTGTGATAAGTTTCAAAACTTCACACATTCTAATATTAACTTATCTTAATCTTTAAATAAAATGTTCATCGTTTTTTTATATTTATATATAAAAATTTGTATACTATTTTTTAGGCTTTGCCAAAACATAGTAATATTACTGCGAAGCTATTATTATTGTTATATCGACAGCAATTGCTGCAAATAGAATAACAAAATTTGGGCAACCTTGAAAAGTGAAACGCGTCTAGAGGAAATGCAGTCAGTCAGTTGGCTGGGCTAATTAGCGCTGCATAAGCTGACCCATTTAGTCAGGCTAGTTGGCTAGTTGGCTGGTTGGATTTGGCTTGAAGACTTACCTGAAGTGTTGCGCTGATGGTGCTGATACCATTCGCAGAGTGCGATTAAAACATGGTCCGTTTGCATTGGCAGCGGCGACTGCATCGGCGTCTGCGTGGCCGATGTGGTTGTGTTTGGTGACTGCGACGCGACGCTGCTGGCGCCGTCCGATGCGCCCGACGACGAGGAAGCGCCCGACGAGGATGAGGCCGAGGACGAAGCGCCCGATGAGGAGGACGAAACACCCGATGAGGATGATGAGGAGGTGGAGGGATAAGAGGAGGAGGCGCCCGAGTTAGCCGATGAGCTAGCGGCAATGTCATCGGCGCCGCCCTCGGGCAGATAAAAGGGCACTGCCATTATATGTATATATATGTGAGTGTGTGTGGGTGTGTGGGGGTGTGCGTGTGTGTGCGTATATTTCGTTGCTGGGCTGGCTTAGCTCGTTTTAGTTGATTGTTGTTGTGGTTGCTGCTGCTGTGTTTTTGGTACTTTTCTTTTTGTCCTGCTCTGCGCTTTTGTTTTGCGTATTGTTTTTCTCTCTTTTTCGTTGACACTTTTCAGGGCGTGCACTCTTAATTAATTTTGTATTTCTTGTGCAATATTTTGAACATTAAGAATTGCAGCATTTTTTTTGTTTTTAGTTAGTTGTAGTATTTTTAAACAGCACAAAGCACTCAAAGTATTTGCTTGGTTTTCCAATTTTAATTTGTTGTTTAGTCGTTTCTATTTATTATTTTTTTTATTTACTTATTATTTTGTATTTATTTTTTGTTGCACACCTTTCGTAAATTTGGATTTTCGAATTATTGGCTCTGGTCAGTTCTTTATTATTATTAGTTTATTCGATTTTTTTCGCATTTCTCATAAAGCTCGCGCAACTTATTTAAAAACACAAACAATTCTTGGAAAATAAACTACGATTGCAGTCGAAGAAGCACTTAAAACGTGTTGCAAACTAAAACAGCGATTTGATTTTGATTTTGATTTTTAACTTGCTTTTTTTTGGTTTGAGGAGAAAACACGTCTTACTCGCTTCGCGGCTGAACTGAACTAAACGGACGGCGCTGTGCGGCGCAATGCGAGGCAGAGTATCCGCAAGATACGCGTTTAAAAAATATGTATAAAAAAAATGATTCAAATTAAGAGAGAGAGAGCAGCAGCAGCAGCAGCAGCAGCAGAATGGGAGCAGAGGCAGAGCGAACGCGTCGCTGCTCGACTGCAGTTCGCCTAGGCTCAGCACCGCTTAGCTTATGCACAACATGCATACATGTTGTTCCAGGTAGTCACAGCCAGTGGGGGACGCAGCGGGGCAGCCAGTGTCGACGTCGACGTCAACGTCAACGCCGCAGCTACACAATGCAAAGAGCAAAGTAAAAAACGAGAAAAGAAAAACAACAAAAACAAATCAGCGTGAGCGTTGCGCTCTTTAGCACAAGTGTGAGTGAGTAGGCGGCGTGTCTCTGCTCGTGTGTGTGTGTCTCTACTCGTGTGTGTCTGTGCGAGAGTGCGAGGCAACACAAAGATCTTGTTGAGCAGGTAAACTCAGCGCAACAACAAAAACAACAGCAGCGAACGTCGAAGCAAAACAAAAGTGCAATTTTGTTTGGGGAGCAGCCGAAAAGAAACAAGCAAGAGCGCACATAGAAATAAATACTCTTAGAATTAAATGAGCAACAAAAGGGGCGCGACAAAAAGATACCCTATAAAAGATGACCAAAAACAGACACGAAATATAACACAAAAACCTCTTAAAAAAGGAGTAGATTTATCTTGGATTAATTGAATAAGTAGCTCTACTATATCAACAACAAGTCAGACTGGCTTCAATTGTCAGAGCCGGGTTTGCGCGCCAAAAAAACGTAGCAGACAAAGTGCATCGGCGAAATAGTAGTAGAAATTTAGAAAAGGTAGTTAATTTTGTACGAAAGGTTTTCAGACGGGAGGAAAATGATATCAGTAAATAAAAATGTGAGATGATAAGTAACTAAATTTTAATTTTTAATTGCTCCTATTAATTTCACTCATTCTCCATTCTCATTTACCTATATTCTTTTTATTATTTACTTATAGCAGTCAGTTGTGTCAAAAACTGACCAATTTCACCATATACAAAATATTGCAGCAAACCTGTTTCGATTCGAGCTATTGTCGCCCCTCCCCCTCCACTCCCCCTTAAGAAAAACAGGCTCTCAAATTATGCTACGTCATGCTCTCCTTACGCTCCACAATTATTTTTGCGCGCGCGAAACTGACAACTAAAAGAAAATCAAGAAAATACGCATTGGATTTGATTTTATTTGATTTGATTCTAAAAACCACATTTGAAAATAAAGATAATTAAATAGAAAAAGAAAACAAACTTGATTAAAATCTTCATATTCTAGAAAGTTCTTTGATTTATTTTGATTATTATTAAAATGGAAACACCCATTTCTATAATTAAGATACAATTTTAATGAAGTTGAAATTATATTATTTTATTTACTTTAAGTATTTGTAATAGTTAACTTATTAAAAGAGTTCTTTGTGTCGATTTATTTTGATTATTATCATAAGAAAAAGAAACTTTTCCATATTTAAGATACGTAATTGTTAGTGAACACCTTTTTTCTTTAGACTCAATTTCATTTTAATTTCAGATTCCCATATTATATTAATTTACTTTAAACTGCAAATTTTTTTTAGCGAAATATTCTTATTATGAATAAAAGGGAAATGTCATTTTCTATATTTAAGAAACAATTTTAAGGAACCTGAAATTAGATACATACAAAAATTATTTAAAGTATCTTAAATAGTTGCCTGAAAAATAAGTGAAGCAAATGAAATAAATTATATTTCTATTTAAGTTTTCTCAAGTTTTTCTGTGGAGCTTCTCAACTTGGTCGCCAAAGAAAATGCTGATAAAGCCAAAACACTCGATAAAGATAAGAGCCAAATCTACACACACACACACACCCACTCACACACACACACACACGCACACACACTCAGAAACACACATGTTGCAAGGATTGCCCAAGATGATGAAATTCAAGAAAACATGAACATGAATGTGCATGCTGCCAGCCAGAAGAGTGGCTCAAAGAGGACGCGCAGTGAAGAGAAGAAAAGGGAACAGAAGAGAGGACAGAGAACTGAAAAAGGGGCTCGATTTTTATGATTTATACGGTGCCTCTTTTTGCTTTACTTTGATTTCTTTTTCTTTATCTTTTTTTTTCTGGCCTTATCAGAAAGCTTTTTCATTAAGGCTTCCAATTACTTGACTACGATGATTCTTGGTGCAGGGAATGAAGAACTGGTGTTACACACACACAGTATTTATGTGTGTGTGTGTGTGTGTGTGTGTGTGTGTGTGTGTGTAGTCTCGGCCGGTCTGCTGTTCCAGCTGCCTGTTGATTTCTTTTGTTTTTTTTTCTTTTTGCAATGGAACTGATTAAGCGTAATGTGAGAGAAATGTGGTCGCAAACATATCATTGTTTATAATATATCAGGAAGTGTTCCACAAAGGACAATATTCATACGTAGTTTCGCAAGTGCGTAGTTCTTTGTTTCGTTGCAATTAATTACTTATTTATTTATCTAAAATCAGTTAAATAAAAAACAATTTTAAGCAAAAAATAGAAAACGAATTAAATTAAGTTTGAAATAAAATTTAATATTCAACATAAGAGAATAAAAAGTATTTATAAGATTTCTGGGGGTATTTAATAGTTAATTAATCGAACATCATTACGGAAAATTCCTCTGTAGTTAAGTCTAATTTTTCTGATTTTCCCTCGACCGACTATAATTAAATTTTCCTATTTCAATGCAAAGAAATTAATTTATTAGCTTTTTAAATATATTTATTTTTTTCTTCCTATTTTTCAACAATTCTTACTGGTTCTAAGAACCAGTTCAAAAATCAAATGATCTATAATCTTTTTGTTTAAATTTTAAATAAAAAGATATCAATTTTTAAGGTGTCCACAAAATGTTCTGACACAAAGTTTTAAGACAAATGACACCGAATATATTATAAATATTGTACATAAAAAAACGGACTTATATTTTATAATGGTCGGCAGATAGATCGATAGGTTAGGGATATCAAATGGAGGACCATCTTCAGGAGAATAAAGAGGAGGGAAAAAAATTAAAAAAAGAAGGAGAGGAAGAAAGAGAGATGAGACCGCATGCGAAGAAAAAAGACTTATTTAAAAAAAAAAAAATGTTAATAAATTAGTTATAAATAAATTATGAAGTAATTATATATTAAAATATATATATATATATATATATAATAAGTAAATATAAAACACAAAAGTAAAAAAAAAAATAAAATAAAAACAAACAAACCGGCGGCAGCAACATGCGGAACTATCCATCGCCGCCACCAAGGAGGAAATCGAAAGGGACAACTGGACTCAGGAACCAGGAAGTGGAGGCCCGGAAACCCTGAGACAACTCGAATTATACCAACTCGGATCTTCCCGCCTAATTAATTGCGGCGGATTGAGTCAAGGACAGCTGATCGGCACTAACCAATGCAATAGTGATGCTCATTTTGTCATTTAGTGATGCACACTTTTGAAGACGATAAAGAGAAAAAAAAAGAGAAATTAACTAGATAGATAACATTGTACTACATATATATACGCGAATTTAGTGTTGGCCAACAAAATGTTGGGAATCACTATGTCCCCTGTATCACATGATTTGTAAATTAAATAGTCTGAAACAAATGAATATGAGGTGATAAATTAATGTGATCGGGCGAGATGAGGGCATAAAAAACAAGCGAGAAAGCAATAATTGTGAAAGGGAATTTCTCCAGGAAATTTAGAGGAGGAATCATTAGGGAGGGAAGGAGACGCAGGCTGTACAACATCCACACAGCTAAGACAGCAGCGAGCGGACTGGAAATATTTGTTTTTCTTTTTTATTTATAAAAGAATACAAATTTTCTCGCTAAATTTTCTCGTATATCGCGGCGAACTACCCCTGAGCCGATAGCTAGCCGCCTGTGCGATACATTGGTGCTTTCGATAGGCAACAATTTCTCATCTCGTGTTTCTTATCAGTGGCAAGCCAGGAGAATGAGCAAAACAAATGTTAAAAACAAATTGAAATCACTTTAAAAAAGCTCTCATGAACAAATTAAAGCAAATCGTAATACAAATATAAGCGATGTGTACAACGAGCCAGGGGGTGAGGGCGAAGAGGGGAGCCCAATGCATCCAATACCCAACCCAAGTTTCGTTGTTGTTGTTGTTGTTATTTTTATACCCAGCAACCATTGAAAGTGAGTCAACGAGTGTTGCATGAAAATGGGGCAAAGGCATTGTTGCCATAATATATAATAACAATAAAAAATTATAATATTATAGAAATTTTAATAACAACATAATAATAATAATAATAATAAATTTGTAAATTTAATTAACTTATGAGTACGTTTTTAGAAGTGGATGAAAACTTAAAAAAAACGTGATCAAGAAAAAAAAAGTTGATTTA